CCCCCCCCCACAGCGAACCCGGGCAGCGAGTGTCCGGTCGGGACACTGGGGTCCTGCCGTCCATCCCCTGCTGTAACTGGTGTCTCCAACCTCTCAAATCTCCATCACAAACCAAGCGAGAAAATTAGATTAAATCAACAGCTGTTTCCACATCTCTGGATTGCAGAGGGTTGTAAATTAACAGTGAGTGAGAGAGAGAGAGAGATTTCAAAGCTGCGGTACCTTCTGGCTGGGGTGTGCCGTCTCCTCCTTTCGGATGATTCTCAAAGAAGCTCCTTTATGAAACTTCACAACACTGGAAGCAATTTACTCATCAAACACAAGAGATGACCAGAAAATATCATCAATTTATTACTAAACAGCCTACTAAAAACATTGCAAGGACATCTCAGCAAAAAAGTAGTGAAATGCCCATCAGAAATTGTCTGACAAGTGTCAGCTACCAGCTTGGTCACTGTTAAACACCACTGAATCTGGAGCTGAAATTCTGGCACAGGTGTGTGTGGGGTGGGGGGGTGGAATGGGGCACATTTAAAAAGGGCATATTTGGAGAATGTGAAACTTCTCCTGTGACCTCTCAGTCACATGATACAAAACAACCAATCACTCACGTTCCCTGTCAATCTACACCAGGGATCGGGAACCTGATCCATAGAGGGCCGCCGTGGGTGCCGGTTTTTGGGATGGTCTATCAGCCAATAACAGTGGGTCCTCAGGACTGGAGTTGAGAAACACAGTTTTATTATTGGTTGATTGAGAGATCATCCCAAAAACTTGCACCCACAGCAGCCCACCATGGAACATGTTCCCCACCCCAGATCTACTCTAACGCCACCGGTGCACCTGAAAATGTCCACACTGTATTGTATATTGTATCACAGTTTCCTTTCTGTAACAGTAACACGACACCACAAATAATTAAGCATTCCCCCCCCCTGGCCTCAGAGGAATCCCGGCCTAAGACGGCTTGGTCAATAGTTGCGTGGAGAACTCGTACAGATCCTTGTTTATCTTCTTCAAGGTCTTCACCTCCTCCTCCAGTTCTGAGACGCGCACCTTGGTGTTCTCGCCGTCGCCGAACACACTCTGCACGGCAGGAGACAGAAGGGGAGTGCCGTCAGGTCCAGGACATGAAGCCAAGGACGTTTCACAGGGGCGACAGAACTACGCACTTTATGGCAAAGCTCTAATATAAAGCAGTGCCCTCTGAATCCATCATCTATATCGGGAAGCAGGATGACAGTGTACCATATTTACTGCAACAAGCGTGAAACAAACATTACAGGGACATGATTATTATTAGGAAAGACATGCCGCATGATTACTGGGGAAAGCATAAGTGCTGGGAAATGAGGTTAGGACTTAAATTTTAGCTGTGTGCCCAAAACACCTAAATCGCAAACCATATTCAGATAGCACCACTTGGCATAAATATTTCAAAAAGTGCAATTTGGGCCTCCACGTGGAATCTTGGCAAGGTCATGGGATCCCATTCTAAGGCAGCCCTAATCTTCCAGGGAGACAGACAGTCTTATTGTAGGGATTTCGACAGAGCAGGAACCGCAGGATGACAGCGATGCACATTTCCCACAGATTACTGCGAAGAATCATCTCCACACGTTATTTATTTTCTTACCCATTGCAAATGGGTACATAAGGTTTCTGGAGAGACAGACCGCTTTTTTTCTGAATGTGAGTAAAATCCATTTAGCGGTGTGTCAAATTCTACCTATAGTGCCAGGTTCACAAGCCCGCTGTCAGCGGCCTGCTAGGGTGATGCCGGTGACCCAGGCCATCTCCACAGCTAATCCGGCCTCCATCCAGCAAGATGACAGCCGTAATGTGGAAGAGGGAACCGCTGACGCGAGCCTGAGCCCTACTGATGGCTCCCACGCCAGGAGCCAGCAAATCGCCTTGGAAATGCAGGAGCGGGTCACGTACAAATTCATTTTTCCCCCGTGTGCCAATATGGGAGATAAATTCAGGAATTTCAACGAAACTCTGCCACGGTTTGCTCCTATTCAGCCCAGCTGCCTCGAAGTGTGGACAGAAAATTCTGGTCTCAACCAACTTTAATTTTAAAAGGAGTCTTCCTGCCTTCCTAAGGCTTGGAAAAGAGCATGTGACACTTTCAGCCAATCAGAAGGGGAATGAAAATGAACCACAGCCAATGGAACAGCGTTGCTTGGCGATTGGGATTATGCTACACAGCTGCTAGCTGAGAAATTATTTGGCTCATTTTAAATGAATAAAAGCAGTGAGGATACCCAAGGAATGCAGATATGAGCCAAAGTCAAAGCGGTTTATGTTCCATGCGCTTAGGTTCAGCAAAAACATCACTAACCCTAACCACTCGACACACCAACGCTGAGGTCTGACAAACGAGTCACGCAGACAGAGATAGGCGTCAGAGGCTTAATGTCATGGGGGGGGGAGGCTGTCCAAGGTGCATACTAACAAGCTACAGCCCCCAACTCGACAATAAGTATTACGGAGCAGTGAACATGATGCACACCTTCACTGAACATCAGCAAAGGCCACATGAAAAGACAGAGTTACTATGCGGGACTGAGCAGACAAGATATCACAGCAGCCCATGCAACACCATACCTCAAAAGGGGGCTTCATACCAGTCCAGCCATTACACAAATACACGACAGGTTAGGACCCGTATCCATGGCTCACACACAAAGCAGCCTCCGAAAGCATCCGCACCACGAGAATACAGCGCAACTTTCAATTTCTTTAGCTGACAGGCCCCCCAGTGGGGGTCATGAGCCCCCAGGGAAGCCACTCAACACAGTGCTTCCCTGATTTAACGGCAGCGATTATCCTCTAAAAGGTTTTACGTGAACCGACCTCGGTAATGGCTTAAAATATCCGTGACCGTGACAGACAAGAAACACCACAACACAAAAACTTCTCTGCTGTAACAGAGGATACTGAGAAAACTGAATTTTAGAGTAATTACAAAATAGCAGTGTGACAATATTGTCCAAAGCGGCACTGGCTGCACTGTAATTCTCAGGGGTACCTAAGCCTCATGTCAGCGGCCACTGCCGCTGCCTGTCATCCTTCACTCGCCTCGCTATCATCTCCCCGTTTTGTTCATTTTGTTCAAGTAGCTCTCTGTGGTGAGGAAGAACAGGACTGAGCCGTCCCGCAGTGCCTGCTGCAGCCGGCCGGCCATCCTGCTGCAGTGCCCCCCTCCAGAGGGGCTCCTGAACATGCCCCTCCTCAGCTTTGCCACCTAGTAGTGCCCAGATCTCCGACCTTTGCCTGAAGGTCTTGCCATCTACCCAGAAGCCCATTAAATGTCTGTCCCTGTTAGAGCTTCCTCACGTAACACTGTCTGATATCCCATCCAAAGTACTTGGGATGGAACAAGTGGCAGGGCAAATTCGGTTCGCAGTTCAGGGCCCGGTCCCCCCCCACGCAAGCCACTCACCTTGTCCGTGACGGCACACATCAGGGAATAGAGCTTTTCTGCTTTCTCCAAGTAGGTCTCCTCTGAAACCTAGTTACGCAATAAGGGGAGAGAAAGTAATTAATTTCATTGGTCCCAGGGTAGGTTTGCACCTCTGGAGGGATTTCAGGGGTCAGATGGGGCATTCAGCAGGGTGACCAGCTCCTACAGCAAGTCTATCACCGTTTGCAGCTGATCAACGAGGTGGCAATAACGGGGGTGGCATTTGTGGGGCTGATCTACAGGGCGTTCATGGGGGATCCTGTGCGTTTACGGGCCGGTACAGGTGGCAATAACGGGGGCACCATTTGTGGGGCTGACCTGCGAGGCGTTCATGGGGGATCCTGCGTGTTTACGGGCCGGGACAGGTGGCAATAACAGGGGCACCATTTGTGGGGCTGTTCTACAGGGCATTCATGGGGGATCCTGCACGTTTACGGACCAGTGTGGGCGGCAATAACGGGGGCAGCATCTGTGTTCATGGGGAGGCCAGCCTGACATTTAGAGTATGGGTGCTGCTGCTCACGGCCTAAAAGCTGCGGGACAGGGAGCCACCTCTGAGCATAAAGGCAGCGTTTGCAGACTCGGCACCCTGGGCTGGGGACATGTGGGCTGAGCAGCGACTGACAGACTGAGGCCGTCCCAGTTACAAATCAGCCAAGTCCCACATCATGCCGCATTGCCTGAATGACAGGAGTATGCCTCACGTGAAAGCCCGCCTGTTGGGAGGCTGTGGATGCCGTGGTGGATGAACCTGCTGTCCTCCTGTGGCGGGCTTGGCCCTCCCACTCCACCTACACCCCCAAAGCGGGGCACAGGCAGACTGAGTGTTCAGAGGCTCCCTGCCAGAGCGGTGTGCCTGGTACCTCTTCCTGCTGCCTTGATGAACAGGCAGATTTTGCCGACAGAGGACCTGGCATCATGGACTAAGAGCACCGCTGCCATGCCGATGTTATTCATAGGAAAAAATATCAATTTGGCATGAAAGGACCCTCCCCAGGGGCCCACGCTGCTACAGACACCCTACGTCACAGAAAGAATATTCATTACAGCCATCAGCATTATGTGAGATTTCTCCTCTGTTTATGATATTTATTTTTGTTGATGAGTGGCCCCTGCTGGCGAGGAGGAGATAGAGCAGGCGGGAGCACGGAGCAGGTGGCAGACTGTTAAAACACAGCAAATCAACATTTAATTTAAAGCCCTGTAATTGATTCTGACTCCAGAGGATCTGTAGACAGACTCCAGACAGCCAGGCTGCAATGATGCGGGGGACATATTTCAGCGTGTGAAATGGGCAAATAAAACAGGCAAATAAAATGGACAACCACATGCAAGGTCTCTGCTGACAGTATGTGTGAGTTCTGGATATTAAAAATCACCACTAAAATCTAACGTAGTTTGGGGAAAACGGGCTCTTCCCAGTAATTCCTAGTTAATTACATCATCCAGTCTGTCACTATGAAAAATCCTGTGGCCTGCTGTACTTTACATTAGTGAGCGTGATTATTTAGTTTTTAATCAGCCCAGAGCGGCCCTGACCTGAGGACCGGGCTGCAGACGCAGGCACATGCCACCGCTCTCGGAGCCCTCGGCCTGCTCGGAGGGGTTGAGGTGTCGGCTGAATCGCGGCAGGCCCACACCGGGCCGGCTGTCCGGCAGGAACATGTTGGCGGGGGCCGGCACGATGAAGGCGTTGGTGACGGGTCCTAGGGGAGGGTCAGGGTTAGGGTTACACTGAGCTCCTTTACCAGGCCCTCAGGGATGCTGGGTGTATAGAGGAGGCACACAGATGCACCCGCTGTGTGGCAGCTTTAGCGTCCAACTAAGGGCCAGTTTATACTCAAGGCTCACAACGCCTCGGTGTGTCATGGCCACCACACATATTCTGCATTCATTCCACATGTCATTTGTGCACCAATGCGTGGAATTAAGGCTACGTGTATATGATATGCAGTACCACTAAAAATCTTGGGAGCAGTACGGTCACCTTTTGTCTCAGGACTTTGTGTTTAAAGTGTTTATATACGGCAGTCATATGGAGGACGAAATGTGAATCATAAATAAATAGAAACATACATTTTTCCATTCCAAAGATTTACAGAAAAATATATTTGAATTGTTTTATTATTTTTATTTAATTTATTGTTTTTTTTATTTTTATTAATCCGTATGTAAATGATGTGGGCAGCTCTAACCCTAACCTTTTTCCTATAGCACTACTGCCCAGTGGAACTGCTCATCTGCACTCCATTGCCTTGGCCTTGCTTGGATGATAATAAATGCTAGCTGGTGTTCATGTTAGTAATGCTATCAGACCTATATCATACATATGTATGGGTTCCCATTTGTCAACTGAACATGTAACAAAACATTTATCTGTGTCTATTCAACAATATAGAGAATGGTGCAGCAGAACTACAGAATCAGCTACAGAGGCAGCGAGTCTCAAACATTTCATGCTGCAACCTCATGCAACCAAGTAAGACAAACTATGGAACCGAAAAAGACCGTTCTCTCGCACTGCCCTCTGGTGGATAGAACTTTTAATCCTCCAGAGTGCAAGAATGAGTGGCAACAACTTTGCATAGTGAGAACTCATGTACGGCCCGAACACATGAAAAATGTGGAAGAGCTACTGGGTATGGCAGCGCTAGCATTCAGCTAACATCTAAAATATGGAAGAGCTGCTGGGTATGGCAGCGTTAGCATTGATCTAATCTAAAATATGGAAGAGCTGCTGGGTATGGCAGCGTTAGCATTCAGCTAACATCTAAAATGTGGAAGAGCTGCTGGGCATGGCAGCGTTAGCATTCAGCTAACACATCTAAAATGTGGAAGAGCTGCTGGGTATGGCAGCGCTAGCATTCAGCTAACATCTAAAACATGGAAGAGCTGCTGGGTATGGCAGCGCTAGCATTCAGCTAACACATCTAAAATGTAGAAGAGCTGCTGGGTATGGCAGCGTTAACATTCAGCTAACACCTAAAATGTGGAAGAGCTGCTGGGTATGGCAGCGTTAGCATTCAGCTAACATCCTTAATTTGGAAGAGCTGCTGGGTATGGCAGTGTATTACTACCACGACGATAAAATACATTTTTGCCCAGTTTTTCGTTATAAGATACCGTATCCAGGGAGGCGCCATGATTCACACACAGCATCAGGTAATGAGAGAGATTAATGCTGCGATCTGAGCACCGGCGGGGGGCCAGCAGAGCGATTTCCACCGATGGGTTCGGGTACATTGGGCACCCTCCTTCAGAAAAGGACATCTTCACAAATCATTTAGCCACTGTCCTCCCCTGCCATGCATTGGGGGGGGGGGGGGGGGGTACTGCTTCACATGGGGAGGGGCGTGGGCAGCGTATGGGCGGCAGAATGGGGGCAGTTCATATGAGTCGTCCAAGTCCTTCATTTGCCGATGGTACAATTCTCAGATACGCGCTGCGGAAAAAGAGAAACATTGACAGGTTTTGAGTTTACATTAGATCAGACTCACTGGGACGGGAGCAGAGAGCAGCCAGCTGACGGGGTTTTGACAGACACCCTGTGGTACATCGCCACTGCATGACTACGTGCATCTAATCAAAGACGTTCCTTGGTGGAATCTCAGATTCAGATCACGCCGATCTTTGCTGTTAAATCTCACAGGGTCACTGTAAAGCAGGAACAAGGCAGTAGCTGTTAACCCCCATGTGAAAGCGCCAATTATTCACCATGATCCAGCGAGGCAGAGAACAACGAAGCCAAAGGAGGCTCGTGTTATGGCTGGAGGGTCAAACTCCTTTAACCAAAAAATCACAAAGAGAAGCAGCTGAACTCGGGGGCCCAGTCAGCAGGTCCCTCACAAGCCTGTTTCGGAGAACCCTTAGCAGCACTGCTTCAGAGCGCTCCTGCGTGCGAAGATCAAGGCGGGCAGAAGGGGGGTCCTACAGACCGCTCACTACCCCTGGGGTTTGGGGGAAAGGGGGCAGGGACCTTTTATAAAGTTAGATCAGAAAGGGGGTGGAGACCATTTATACAGTTAGATCAGAAAGGAAGGGGGGGGGGGCTTTCATACAGTTAGATTAGAAAGGGAAATGTATCGTGGGGGGGTGAGTTATTTCCAGAGTCAAATACTACATATGACTAATGCATTAGTCTCATAATACATGCACTGACCTTCTGCGGTAGGATTAGATATTATTACATTATTATTATATATCATCTTTATTAAAGGCAGTAGCTCAGTCTCTCCAAAAATGCTGTTTTGCCAGGTTGCATCTAAATTAAAACTCCAGCATAATCATAACATGCTAATTCTACAGCTTTATATGGCACATTTTCAAAACATACATCTCTGCTCAGCTTGTCCTTTTCTGCCCCCCTGTAGAGAGCAGATCCCCCAGACAAACAGTCCATGTATTTCAGGACACAAGACATGTGGGGCCCCCATGACCTGCAGTTAAAATGGGGGAGAGGCAGTGGAAGGGAGCGGGACAGGGAAGTGGACCCAGGGATGCTGGGGTCCCATCACAGGGATTCAGCCACTGCAGCAGTGCATAGGGCCATAAATGCGGTCCGGTGCATACCATGCAGTAGTGCATGGGGTCACAGATGTGGTTCGGCAATACCCTGCAGTAGCACATATGGCCACAGATGCGGTCCAGCGCATGCCCTGCAGTAGCGCATGGGGCCACAGATGTGATCTGGCAATACCCTGCAGGAGCACATATGGCCACAGATGCGGTCCAGCGCATGCCCTGCAGTAGCGCATGGGGCC